TGAAATGGCCTGAAGACACTTCAGGTCATTTCAGAAGTTTCGGGTGGTTTGGAGGACACGTTTTATGTTTTTTTTTTTTTTTTTTTTTCAGCCTGTTTTTTCAGCCACTTCAGGTCATTTCAGGAGTTTCAGGTGTTGGGGACCTGAAACCGCTGAAGTGGCTGAAGCTTCTGAAAGGGGTTTCAGGTACCCCCATCCAACCATTTGGATGGGGGTACCTGAAACCCCTTTCAGAAGCTTCAGCCACTTCAGGTCATTTCAAGAGTTTCAGGTGGGGACCTGAAGTGGCTGAAAGTGACCTGTAAATAGTGCCTGTTGTTAACCATCTCTCCTCCAACCGGTACACAATCTGCTCCTTTAACTACTTCTACGATTATCCACCCTGCCGCACAAACCAGCTCAACAACCGGCTTCTTCAGATGGGACAGCTGGCTCCAACTCGTCACCAAAGACAACATCGAAGACATCATCACCCAGATATTCTGGGAGGACTTCCTAACAACCAACCACGCTGCATTCTCGCCACACCTGTACACTTTCTTCTCCCAGTACAAACAAAACCGGACACGATCACTACAACGGCCTGAACCCTCCACCAACATCAACGTCCAGTTCCAACGAGCGAAAACATTCCTCCTCAAACTTATCAATGACGGCTACAGCCACACTCGCTCTCCAAGAACACCTCGCCCGCAATACCAGCATGAACGTATCACTACCGCACATCATAGACACTCTTTCATTACAACCGCTCCACCGCCCCCCCAATCCCCGTTACAACCCCATGCAGCTCATGAGGCTGACCCACTTTGGTGGCTTCCACTCGAACCATGGGGTGCCACAAGAGCCACCGCCCTCATTCACGACCTCCTCGCATCGCGCCATACGCTCCACATCTACAACATCTCCCACACACCTCGAACATGGGAATACCTGAACGACCTCATCTTTGATCACCATCGCGAGACACAACATCCCCTCCCCCCCTTCCCCGCTTTCAAAGCAAACATCATCCGACGAGCCATTGCGCTCCTTCAAGCACAGGGACCGCCAACACGGTGAACATTCTACATTGGACCACACCAGCTTTGGACCGCTACCACAAGAAGACAACTGCGTTGCATCTGCCACATGCGAACCCCGGAGGAGGATATCAGCATCTGGACACGAAATCGGCGAACCGGAGCCTGCATCGGATCTCAATTACAAGCAACCAGCCTGTCTACAACAATCAAGACTGGGCGACACTGGGCGACGACAATTTCGCTGCCAAGACACTTCAATACATTTTCATCTGTGGATCCTTAATGCTTCCCCGAGTTCTTCCCTTTCCTACATCTTTGCAATGAAATTTTCAGTTGTACATAGATCATCGATCTCGGGAAATGAAAATTTTTGCCTGTGCATAGACCATCCATCTCTCTACTACGCAGCTCCCTGTCCTCATTTCTCTCCTCCCCCTTCCCCATGTGCTGCTCCCCTTTCATTTGCTGCAAAACACTCAGCCCACACTGCACATTTGACAGAAGTCTATGTGTGCAGACAGAAAGATCCACCTACTTTATGGTTCGTTTTTCTTGCCTTGCATAATCTGGGAACAAATTGTCTACACAACTCCCTGTCTCCATTCCTCTCCTCCCCCTTCCACATGTTCTCTTCACAACTCTGCACTCCTCCCCTTTCATTCACTGCCAGCATGCGCAAGTATCAACACACACAGATTGAGTGTCTCACACACACAAAATCAAGCTGAGACAAGATGAGATAGAACCAGATAGCGCAGCTTATATTATCAAATCACGTTAAACAAGAGTATCTCAAGCTCCAGAGTTCAGCGCCCACAAAGTACAGGTTTCTCCCTCGATCAACCATACACACATGGCCTGGCTCAGCCAGCGTCTGCCCCAGATCACAAGTGTAGCGCCAACAGGTAAGTATCTTCCATATCCAGCATCTTGACCTGTCTCTTCTCTCTTACTCTTCTCTCAAGATCTCTGTCCTGGTTCCCTTCACTCAACATGCATGCACACTCCCTGTCTACGAGAATCTACTCTGAATGCTAGTCACTAAAGACTACTTACTAACCCTTCTACTACTACTACTAACATGCTGATGCAGCTATGGCTGCCTCTTGCCAGCTAGCGCCCAGCCTTCTTCTTCTTAGCGCAGATTCTCCTGCCAGCGCTCATCCAGCCAGCCAATGCACAAGTGCCACAGCACTTCCACGCATCATGCCACTGGAGAATCTGTTTGGTGGGGAGACTGCCTCGTCCTTTATAGTGCTGGCCTCCCCTTGCGAGGTCTGAATTTCAGCCTGGCTTGGGTCCTGTCCCAGTCCCAGCCTCAGTGGAGTGTGTCCCAGTACCTTTTCCTTCAAGGTCTGCTGCTGCTGCAGCCTTCAGGCCTGAATTTTGGACTTAGAGCCTGAATCTAGACTCTCCTTCTGACTTAATTCGTGACTGGGATTCGAGCCTGAATCTAGACTCTCCTTTTGACTTCTTTTGGACAGACACATCTATTGCTCGAGCAGACACACATTCTGCATGAACAGACACACATACCGTACGAACAGACACACATACTGCACGTACAGACACATAAACAGACATGACTTGCACATCCCCTGAGCGAACGAATGTGACTCCCATATGCAACTGTTCGTCCAGGGCACAACTGTGACCTTTGACATTGACTTGTACTTAGTTAGGATGTGACTTTTGACCAAGAGAACATGTCCTTTGATCTGCTTTCACGAGTTGGGGCTCTGGGCGAGTGACCCCTCTATGCTGCATTCGTCAAACAGGGGCTGAATCCGGTAAGGCCCTTTTAAAACTAATCATCTTAAGATAATAATGACTATTTTATCGTATTTATTTATATAATGACTTCATAAGTTCATTATTATATTTAATATACATACTTTCAATAAAAGATATAAGTATCATATTACATGTGTGTGGATTTCAGCCTTACGGCATGGTCTTTCCAAACCCAATATGTGGCAGAGGATCTCACCACCACTGTGCCTGGTCCTAGCACTTCATGACAATTCGATTGCACTTGCCATTCTCAGTCAAAATGGGGAATGGAGACACGTCGCTCATATCTGAGAAGGCCCAAAAGGGGGTCTGACAGTATGACGCTCGGATTCACGCGATGTCCTCATGTCAGTGGTTTTCAATTTATTGCTTTCAATAGACTCACCTGCAAGACGACAGTTCTCAGATCTTCCCTGTTTGTCAGCTCATCCACATAGAGCTCTGTGAAGCGATTCTTCAAAGGGGCAGGAAGGTCACGCTTTCCGACATCTGTTGCTGGATTCATACATGCAAAAATACGGAAATCCGGATGACGATTCACATTTTCTATATCACCCCTCTCAGTTAAGCATAGAGACCCTCTTTCACCTTCAAGCACCCCACTCAGCCTCTCCAGTGTCTCTGCTGGAGCAAGATTGACCTCATCCAGAAGTAACCAGTGGCCAAGTCGCAACGCCTGCAAGGAAGCCAAACACCGCAGAGAAAGCAAGAGACAACAAACACGACAGCCAATGTGAATTGCGCGAATCCCTTCTGCCTTGGACAAGCTGTACGGTTGTCAAGTCAACAAGAAGGCAGGTCACCTAATCACTTCAAATGGCAATAGCTCATAGGGACCAGTTAAGGGACACTTGAACAGGTTCCAAAGGGGAATTGGATGAAATTATTTTGCCTGCACCATCCCCAGTAGCCTCCCTGGATAGACCCAGTATACATCTGAGCCATGAGATAGTTCAGGGCCGACTTGGAGCCAGTCAACAATGCAATAGAAGTCTGAACCCAGCGCGCCTCATGAAGTCTCCAATATCAATTACGAGTCCATGTCTCCATCATATGCACAATTCAAGGGTGTTGTTCATCAAAGAGAGCATGATAGGAGGGAGAGGAGAGAGAAAAGCCAGAGAAGATGAGCTAAAGAGCCACAATCATAATCAATGGTACACGTGTCTTGCTATCTCCCTCTTCCACTTCGGGCTTCTCCCCTATCGCCACATCAGCAATGTATGTCCCAGAGAGAAAAGCCAGAGAAGAGGAGCGAAAGAGCCACAATCATAATCAATGGTACACGTGTCTTGCTACCTCCCTCTTCCACTTCGGGGTTCTCCCCAATCGCCACCTCAGCAATGTATGTCCCACTGACGTCCTCTGACATAATCACTTGTGCAGATCATTACAGGACGCCCATCCTCCCTCCACTTCAGCAATGAAGTATGGAGGATGGCACTGCACTTCCTCACCTTCGTGGAGGATCAAACGTGTCGTCGCCAGGTAAGTGAAGGGGTTGCATACTCGTGAACACAGACATAAGTATGGCGCAGATCCCCAGAACCGACCAGATAATACAGAGCAAATAAAATTACAGCGGAAGACTTGATACACATGGATTGACTCAGACCTGACTCAGACTGCAACAAATCCCTCACAAACATGGATCGGTGGTGTGAAAGCCCTGGCCTTGGATATGGAAGAAAGGGCCAGGGTCTGATCTCATACACAGATGAATGGAGGGGAGCAGAGACGAAGGGAGGAGGAGAGTGAAGATGACGTCAACTCAATGTCTCCAAAAATAGCATCTCAAAATGCCATAAGTAGCTACAATCCGAAATGTCGCGAATACAGAGTCTCACAGTGTCCCGGATATCGATCTCCCAATGCCAAGATACATCTCCAGAGGTAGATGAAGTCAGATCCCAAAAGTAGTCCTCAACCGAAAGCCTCAACGTTGTTATCTCCGACATCATCAGAACTTGTAACCATCCTTCACACTCGTAGTAGTCCAGTAGGAGTAACCCAAGAAGTAGACTTAGACTTAGAGGGCAGGAGGAGAAAGAAGGCGAAGGAGGAGAGGAGAAGAAAAGGAAGAGGGAAGAAAGACGAAGCCTTTCTTCCTGATACCTGAGTGGCCGCGCCATCTCTGCCGAAGTCCGCTGAGGCTGAGCTTGGCGATGTAGCTATGGCGCTGCAGTGCTGGGCGCTGGGCTGTGTGCTGAGCCAGAGAACTGGCGCTAATCGCTGCTGCGCTAATCTTCCTTGCTGCTCCGCTATTCTAACGTCGAAACGCTGTCCTAGACAAACCTGCCTACTGAGGCTGGTACCCGGCTGATATAGCGCTGGGCCAGCCTCAATGCCGTTGGTACCTTTGGGTCTGGACCGTTGATCAGATCAACAGTTCAGACCTGATGCCGAAATATGAAAGTGGCGCCTAAATTTGTCTGCTGTCAAAAATGCGCCGCCGGTAGGTCCTGGTGTTGGACCGGTACTGGCCTGGCTCTTGTGACCGTTGGCCTACTCGGCCTCTGGGCCGACCTACAGGTCTGAACCGACGTGACCCCTGACCCTCGGCCTAAATTAAGCGTAACTACGGAACTGGGCCCTAACTGGGGCCCCTGTGGTGTCAGAATGCCAAGTCTACAGCTAAGCAGCTATGGCCGCATCAGCATAATTAGCCTCTAGGCTGGCACCCACCAGCAGCATCTGGACGCTCCAGATTTGTCCGATCTCGACACCCTGGATGCAGCCTCGAAGCAGGAGTACCTTTGCCCAATCTGGACTGGAATCTTCCAGATACCTGCAGACCGCCATTGATGTGCATCTGAGCTATGGCCAGGGCTGACTACTGGGTTGACTTTGACCTTGGGCCTGCTCTTCCCGTGCTTGGTCTCACTCTCGATTTCGCGAGAGTCAACTACCTCACGTGGGGGCACTGGACGCTGTTCTTTACCCATGCTCTAATACCCCTTGACATTAGGCCCTGACTCAGACTTGGGGCGTGACCTTTGACCCCTGTTTCTGGCCTTTTGACCAAAAGTTACGACCCGCGACCGCAGCAATGTGGATCTGAACTGAGTTTATTGCGATGTCCACCATTGGATGTCAACAGCACTACTGTGCATCAGAAAACCAACAACAGCCTTGTGTCCTTCACGCCCAAGGCTCAGCATCTCCAGGGTTGTATAAACGACTGGTTCAACAACCATATCCGGGGACGATGGTGGTTTAAGAACTTTGCATCCCACTCTCCTAATCATCCACACCCGCCCACCCTTCAACACCTATGCAAGTGGGCATACCTAAACAGCTCGAGTGAATGGGCCTGGTTTTAAACACTAACGTCTGGGTCTTCTTGCTAATTGAAACGGTTTTCACCTGTTAGCAGTAGCGAATGCAGATCCCAGGGCTCGATCCCTAGTTCTCACCTTACCTGTGTACAGTATCTGTGTCAACCCCAAGTGTTTGAACCCGTGACCTGTGTTTTGACAGTTGTTGTTGTCTATCATAGGTCTGTGTAGTGGTAGGGGTTCGTCCTGTAGATCTGTCAAGTACGAGTCACAGCCCTGTAGAGGTCGTAGCTGTAGGAATCCTGAAAGGTCAAGGTCGTAGCTGCTACAGTCCTGAAAGGTCAAGGTCGTAGCTGCTACAGTACTCGAAAGGCCAAGTCCACAGACTTCCGGAAGATCCGGAAGTGGCCTTTCGAAGCTGACTCACGTTTCAGTCAGAGGCAAGTGGGCAAGTGGTGAGCCCAGCTGCATTACGTCGGCAGTGCGACTGCATTGAGTTGGCAGTGCAAACCCATGCAGTCAGCGGTACCGGTCCAGTCAGTCCCAGTCCAGTCAAGCAAGTACCATAAGGGACTATGTGCACCATGGGCCGATGGAAAGGGGCAGACCAACGAGTTACACAAGTATAAATCAAGAGGCAGCGCCCAGCCATTGATTCATTCCTGCGTAAGCCATGCGGAAGCGCTGCCATAGCGGCTTGTGCAAGGTGGTCTGCAGTGAGCCAGAGGACGAAGTGGGCGAGAAGGAGCTTATAGCAGCGGCCATAGCCGCCATAGCTGTTAGAAGGGAGTAGCATGTGTGTGTGTGTGCATGTACAGTGTGACGCGTCTGGGATATCCAGGGTGATCCTGTGTGCGAACGGCAGTGTTGAGTAAGTGACGAACAGAGCATGTACAGGCGATGTGCCGCCATAGCCATTTGAAGTGAACTTGTATTTGAGCTGCGTTCTTGATTACTGTATCTCTGAGTTCTGAGTGGGCGCTTGACGCCAGTTTGCTGCGCATCCTGTTTGCATGCATGTGAAGTGTGAATAAAAGTGAGTCTGATAATCTGATTGCATAATCTTCCAGGTTTAGGTGCCCAGAAACAGAATTTCTGAGCAATTCTGAATGGGTCTCCACATATCCTCCAGAGCATGAATGCTTCCCCGGATATCTGAGTATCAGATATCTGAATATCCTCAGATGTCTGAATAATCCTACCTGTAACCAGGTTTGCATACCTGCCGACCGCCGACCCTGACCGGCCGGCGGTCTGCCGACCAGTCAGAAACAGCCATCGACTGATCTGAGTTGGGGGCTGTCCTGCGCTTGCGGAGTAAAGCCCAAATCCGCTGAGAAACTTCTGGGGATGGGGGGGGTATAGGGGTAGTTAGGGGGTATGAGGGGGGATATGACAGTTTTGGGGGCGGTTTGGGGGTGTTGGGGGGGTATATGGTGGATATTGGGGGTACTGGGGGCAGGTATGGGGGTGTTGGTGGGGTGATTGGGATTCTGGACCCTTTGTTTTTTGCAGGGTGCCAGCGACCCCCAACCGGTAGGTGCTGACCGGTCGGGTTGTCGGCAGCCGACCATTCGAGGGACGCCAACCGTCGGGGTATGCAACATTGCCTGTAACCATAAAAAATGTACATTAACAATCATACGCGTCCACTATTCAGGAGCCAGATGCGAAAATAAATGCTGATAAAGCTTTCTCTGGGATCTTAAGCCAACATCAGGACTGCCTCACAACCTAGGCCCCAACCCCATCAGGCAATGTCGGGTCCTTAGGTTTGCCATTACCAAATGTGTGATATGAAACGAGGGGCAAAAAGAGACGCATGGTTGCAGAGTGAATTTCCAAGGCAAGGACAAATGCAAGTTCGAATGCACTTTGTTCAGCCTCAACCTGCCACTCTGCCTTCGCAAGATCAGCAGCAAGGCAAGGGCAAATTAAATTGTATGTGAATTCTTGATCAAAACCAGTGAGACGAAGAGAGCAATGGTATACCATTCACCAACATGGACGAATGAGATGTAAGTAGAACAAGATTAGCCAGCGCAGCTCCGCCCGCGGGCAAAAGGGTCAGGCGAAGTAATTTCATTCAGTGGATATGAGAGGTGAGAGCAGTTGACAATAGAGAGTAGCCGAGCCTAGAGATTGCAGTACAGCGAGAGAAGAGTAGACCCAACAGAGAGTACAGGAATACAGAGCAGAGAACAATACAGAGAAAGTGCAGAGTAGAGTAGAGTTCAATTGGAAGTCGAGACGAGCATCGGGTACAGAACAGGGTCGTGACCCCCGGAGAGTGGAGTAGACAGTAGCATAAGGTGAAACGTGGGGACAGGGAGAAAATGAAGACGAATGACGAGGCACGAAGAGAAAGACGGGGACTGGTGATCCAGGGGCTGTATTT